CTGGGGTCAGGTGGGATGTGGTACGGGATGGCTGCATGGCTGGGGTTGGGTGGGATGTGGGTATGGGGTGGATACACACCTGGGATCAGGTGGGATGTGGGCACAGGATGGCTGCCAATGTGCTGTGAGTGGCTGGGTGGGCACATGGGTGTCCCTCACAGGCTGGGGCTGGGGCAGGGGCTGGCAGGAGCCGATGCTCAGCGCCTCTCCCATTTCCCCCTTGCAGGAGGAAGCAGCAGAGCTTGGAGGCGGAGGAGGCCCGGCAGCGCCTGAAGGAGCAGTCCATCTTTGTGAGTGCCACTGGTGCCAGGATCAGGGGCAGGGCTGCCACTGGCATTACCCCAGGGAAGGGCTTTCCCCAGCTGGGTGCCTGGGCTGGGAGCTGATGCTGCGTCTCTTCCCAGGGGGACCAGCAAGACGAGGACGACAGGCAGCAGTTTCGGAAATCGGAGTCAGAGGTGGAGGTGAGCGTGGTGATGGCCATGCCCGGTGCTGTCCTCCCTCCCCGTCCAGCAGTGCCCACAGCTAGATGGGAATGAATGAAGCTGTGGGATGCATGGAGGGTGGTCCCACAGCCCCACAGCCCTGGGGCAGTGGGGCTCAGCCTCCCCTGTCCCCACAGGAGGCTGCTGCCATCATCGCCCAGCGGCCTGACAACCCCCGGGAGTTCTTCAAGCAGCAGGAGCGGGTGGCATCGGGCAGCAGTGATGCTGTGTCACCAGGCAGCCACAGGACAGGTGAGGGGCTCTGGGGGGCTGTGGGTGCAGGGGTGGGCACCAGGACACCAGGGCACAGGTGAGTGCACTGCCACAGCTCAAAGGATTGCAGTGGGATATGGAAAGACCAGGGATGCAATGTGGGGAGGGGATGTACCCTCTGCCATCACTGGCACCGTGGTTCTGGGTGCCAAGGGTATGAGGATGGCAGGAGACATCCTGCTCTGCTGTGCCACCATCACTGCCACCATCACCGCTACTGCCACTGCACCTCACGTGGCCCCTGCAGCTGGGGCAGCTTGTCAGGGGCTGGATGTCAGGTTTGTCTTCAGCAAAACAGGGCTCACCCTGCTCCCTGCTGGGTGTTGTCCACTCACCTGTCACAGCACTGTGCTCACTGCCAAGCTGGAAACGTGGTTGGTGCGTATGGGTGGGCAACTGGAGGTCTGGGGATGGCTTGGGAATACATCCCATGGTGACAGCCAAAAGGGGCAGGAGAGAGTGAGGCACATGTGGGGAACTCAGCGTGCTGGCTGCTGGCAAGGAGAGCCCCATAGAGCAGCTGGGCTGCCCCACAGTGTGGGATCCAGTGCTGGGATCCAGTGCTCCTTTTGTGAATCCAGGGAAGGACTGTGTGTCCTGGGGGTGCCTCCAGCCATGGGGCCATGCTGTGCTGGGGGGCTGTGCCGTGAGCTGTGCTGGGAGGGAGCCTGTGCCGTGTGTTCTTGTGTGCCGTGCCATGGGTTGTGCCATGGGCTGTGCCGTGGGGATGTGCTGTGGGTTGTGCCATGGTGCTGTGCCATGGTGCTGTGCCTCAGGGCAGTGCTGTGGGGCTGTGCCGTGGGGATGTGCTGTGGGTCGTGCTGTGGTCTGTGTGCTCTGGCCGTGCCGTGGTTGTGCACAGGTTCACGCTGTGGGGCTGTGCTGTGGCTGAGCAGATAGTTGGTCCCACAGCCGTGTCCTGGCCTCTCTCCCCACCTGGCCAGGCAGTGCTGCCTCACGTCCTTCTGTCCTGCTGCCTTTCCATCCTCTTGTCCTGCCATTCTCCCACCATGCTGCCTTCCACCCTGCTGTGCTCCCATCCCGGTGCCCTGGTGCTCCAGCCCCGCCATGACCGTGCTGAGCAGGGACTGACCCATCTCTCTGCTCTCTCTCTCTCTCTTTCTCCGTCCGTCTGTCTGTCTGTCTCTCTCTCACAGGTCGTCTGCACTGTCCTTTCATAAAGACAGCTGACAGTGGGCCACCATCTTCCTCCTCCTCCTCCTCCTCCCCCCCACGGACCCCCTTCCCCTATATCTCCTGCCACCGCACTCCAAATCTCTCCTCTTTCTTCCCATGTAGGTAGCTGGGAGCTCCCGGGCGCAGCTCCGGGGGTCGAGCCGGGGNCCTCCGTGGCTGGCTGTGTGCCTCTGGGGAGGTGCTGGCTGCTGGGGGTCCCCATGGAGCCCCCAGAGGGGCTGGCCAGGGCACGGTGGGAGCGACAGGGGGTTTCCCATCAGCTGGGAATGGTTTCCAAGGAACAGTCTCCATGACGGCCCCATCACACTCTGGCGGCTCATTGATTTGCTGCTGCTGGTGCTCCGGCGTCCTCCCCCAGCCTGGTGCCTGCTGGGCTGGTGGCTCACGCAGCCGGGCACGTGAGTGGGCCCGGGTCCTTACTGGGGCACAGGGTTGTCCCCAAACCTGGTCAGTAGCTGGAAGGGTCGTGAGGGGACAGGGATGGGTGAGCAAGTTGCTGTGGGACTGTGTTGGCTTGCAGCACAGCAGTCGGTGTGTCCCTGTGCCCAAGTGACTATTCTGTCCACAAATCTGAGACCCTTCCCCACAGCTGCCACCCAGGGCTGGGGAATAGGCCCTGCCCCACATCCTGTCTGCCTTGCCTGGCAGTCTGGCTCTTGGTGCTGATGATCGACAAGGGTTGCTGTGGCTGTATGTTAGTTTTGGGACAAGCAGCCAGACCCCAGGACATGCCCTGACCTCAGTGTAAGCAGGATGGGGAGGTTGGGGGTTGCCCCACACTCCTCCTGGCTTTGGCTCACCCATGGTGTCTCCCCAGGGCCCTCTACACATACGAGGATGGCTCTGATGACCTGAAGCTGGCAGCATCAGGAGGTAAGGTCCTCTGTCCCCTCTGCCAGCTCACCTGTGCTGGTGTTTTCCCTGTCACCTGTTACTGGTGCTGGGTGCACGTGGGCTGATGGTGCTGTGCCAGGTGGAGGTTTGCTGGAGCTTTCTGGCCACTTTGAGATCCAGAAGGTGATGTATGGCTTCTGCAGCGTCAAGGACCCACAGGCCGTGCTCCCCAAATATGTCCTCGTTAACTGGGTGAGTCTGGGGGCCCTGCTGAGGGGGGCTGTGCTGTGCCCACAGGGACATGGCTGGGTGTGAGGGAGCTGGCAGTGCCCAGGGGCTGTGGGTGCCCCACAGTCCTGCTGCCCTGCTGAGGTCAGTGGGGTGGCGGTCACCCTGCTGCCCCTCTCAGCTCAGTCCCTCCCTGGCTGCCACAGGTGGGTGAGGACGTGCCGGACGCCCGCAAATGCGCCTGTGCCAGCCACGTAGCCAAGATCGCCGAGTTCTTCCAGGTGGGCGACGCTGGGGAGGGGGGAGATGTTGCCAGGGCACTGATGCTGACCCCTGATGGCTGCTTGCACTCCCCAGGGTGTCGATGTCATCGTCAATGCCAGCAGCGTGGAGGACATTGACCCCGGGGCCATTGGGCAGCGCCTCTCCAACGGGCTGGCCCGCGTCTCCAGCCCGGTGCTGCACCGCCTGCGGCTGCGCGAGGATGAGAACGCCGAGCCCGTGGTAACGTCCCCACGGCAGCGCTGGGGATGCTGCTGGGGCTGGGGCGTCCCTCCTGCCCAGGGCTCCTGTGTGCCACAGCCCCTCACCCCCTGTGCCCCTTACTGTTATCCCCATCGCTGATCCCAGCCCCTCCATCCCCTCGCCTCTCCTCCATCCAGGGCACCACTTACCAGAAAACCGACGCCACCGTGGAGATGAAGCGGCTCAACCGGGAGCAGTTCTGGGAGCAGGCAAAGGTGGGTACGGAGGGACACCCCAGGGAGAAGGGTGAGCTGCTGATGGGCAGCCCCCTCATTGATCCCCCACACCAGAAAGAGGAGGAATTGCGTAAGGAGGAAGAGAGGAAAAAGGCCCTGGATGCCCGGCTGCGGTTCGNGCAGCAGAATCGGTTCCCGGGAAGGCGAGTGCCGGTGGCGGCTCCCCCACACACACCTCCAACGCTGATCCCGGCCGGGCAGCGATCCCCTGCCAATCCCACCCGTGGGGCTGATTTTGCTCCATCGTCCCCAGCTGCTCCATCGTGCCCAGCCGGTGCTCCATTGTCACCCGAGCGCCTGGCACTCAGTGCCTGCGGGAGCAGCATCCCCGCTGCGGGGTGCGGGATGAGGGGTGATGCTGCTGGGGCTGCAAGGTGATGGGGACAGTGCCATGGGGAGGAGGGCCCGGCCTGGCCGACCCAGAGAGGACAATGTGCCAGAGCCTGGCCCTGGGCCGGAACCGGGGAATGCCGCGCTCATGTCCGGACGGGATCCCTCTGTTTAGTCAGGGATTTCCCCTGCTCCAGCCCGGTCCTGGAGGGTCCGAGCATCCCCTCCCCCTGCCCGGCCCCGCGAAGGCTGCTGGGGCCCATTACTCGATCGGAAAGGAATTTGGTGCTGCTTTCTGAGCACGCCGACTCCCTGGAGCTCCCAGCCACATTGGAAACACATGTGCCGGGGCTGGGGCGGGAGGCTGGGGCGATGTGACCCCTCCCTGGCCTGGCACGGGGGGTGGGCTGCCGCGGGAGCCCCGCTCTGGCACCCGGGGATGCTGCTCCGCCTGCTCCGGTGAGCAGCGGGGCCATGCCAGGGCACTGGGCTGAGCTCTCTGTGGTTGGGGTGATGAGGGATCCTCAGTGGAGCCCCCCGGCTGCAGGGAGCCCCCCCCGGGCTGCACGGGGCATCTCCACCCACGGGTGACCCACATACCTGGAGCCCGGGGGTGGGAAAGGGCTGAATGGTTTGGGTGGAGGGATTAAAGCCCATGGAAGTGAGGTAAGCAGTGCGTGATGCTGACAGCACCCGCTGTGACACAGCTGGACCCCACTGCCGGGGGTTGTGGTGCTGCTGTTGGGCTCTGGGTCCCTGGGGGCACCCCTGGGGACGCTGCTGGCCCCAGCACGGCTTCCCTGTCTCCTGGAATGGAAACCTCCATCCTGGCATGGAGTCAGGCTGTGCTGCTGAGCTGTGTCCACAGCAAGCCTCATCAGCCCTGGGAGCAGCTGGCAGCAGCCTTGTGGCCAGCTACCACTGGGCATGGCCGTGTTCTGGGGAGGAAAAGCAGGCAGTGGGTGCCCCCAGCACCCACAGGGCTCCCCAGGCACTGGTGCTGTGGCTCTGCCCTACTTCTTTTCTCCTGCCTGCTGCCAGCTGCATCCCACCCTTCCAGCTCCCAGCTCGCTGCCCTGGGTCCCCCAAACTGTTGCCGTCCTCCCCCATTCCGGGGGGCTCAGGGGCTGCATTTGCCACCCTTCCCTGTCACAGCCGTCTCAGACAGCACTTTGCAGCTGTTCCAGGCCTGGAAGCTGGCGCCGGCTGGGGCGGCCGATTAGCGGGATCGGGATGTGCGGATTAAAGTCAATCTTGTTGGTGCAATTATCTGCGGCTCCCTGCCAGGGGCTCGGGGAGGCAGAGGGAGGCCCTCTCTCTCTTAGGCACCTGCCTGCCTTCCCTTTGCTTTTTAGCTCCAGCCAGGCCCTATTATAGGGGGGCGGCTCTGCCCGCAGGGACCCTCAATTCCCGTTCCCCAGGCTGTGGATTGAAGCTGCAGGCTGGAGCGAGGAGGGCTTTGCTTGGCTCAGCGGGGA